TCTTTGCTATTTATATCGGATTCTATATTTCTAGTAATTTTTAGTGCATTATTTGGCCACTTTCTACCTACTTATAGTTGTGTTTCTAGCCATTTTCTTCGATAACCGACAGCGATAAGTATTTTCTATCCATTATCCAAGCATTATGCGCATCATAGTTGAGTAATTATTACCCTTACCCTTTTTCTATTATCTACGAAATAAAAAACAATGGAAATGCAAGTGTTTAAAATATCCAAAATGAATAAATAGGGACTTTATCATTAGTTTAGCATTACATTTTACAATATGCTAAGCATTATATTTCTAATTGTCAGTGCAAAACATAGGAACAGAAAAGTATTAAAACATAAAACATAACCTGCTTATTAATATTCCATTCATAACAGCAAAGGCTTTTTACTGTAAGCTTAGGATTTTATTTCCTACAGAACCTAATCCGATATTAAAAAGTCTCATTTTCTTTTATTCTGCGGAAGTGGAATGTCGGTGCACACTGCCGCATCGAAAGTCCAAATTCAAATGCTTTTCACGTGCCGTTTGTCCGAAATGGCTTTCGTGTTGTTAATTCAAGAAAATTTGTAGCAATTGCATTTTAAATTTAGCTTCCATTGCCTGACGGCGTGCTTAGGCTTTGGCCCTGCTGCCCTCATCCAGCAATTAGCGCTAATAATGATGAATTAGGGGAACTAACTGTACATATTTCATGGATTTTTTCTTTAACTTTTCCACAATACCGGCACGATGAAAGGGAAATAAAGCTGCTTTCGTAATGGCGTCTAGACATGAATAGAGGGGCAAGTATTTAAGGCCCAACTATTTGTGGTAACGGGCTATATGTTTAGTGGCAACATTTTGATGCAAAAGTTCTACTTCAGTCATGTGGATGCGCAAACAAATCATGGTTGGTTGCTACCAACAATTATGAAAGTTTCGAGCATAGTTCGGGGAAGTCCTGAGCATGCTCTGCAAAAGTTTGCTTTACACTGGCAATGGAGGCAGACCCATAAATGCTTTCAATTGCTTTATCAGCTTATTCTATGTACTATGTACGAATATATCTTTGTAAATTCATTTGCGTTTCACTTAAACTGTCTGGCTTCTTTTTTATGACTTCCATTGCATTTGTATTTGCTCCCTACACAGCCTTTTACTATATAACAAATGAGGGGCTACAATAATTATTCATAATGTATGCAAATCTCTTCAAATTTCCACAATCTTTGAATACAACCAGAAAACTTTGCTAAGCGCTTTAAAGTCATTTGCAGCACTCAACACAATAATAGTACTATCGCTATTGTTTAAGCCCAGAAAATGACCCAAATTCATGAAAGTTGTTCACTCTTGATTCCTTTTGGGCATTTTCTTTGCCGTTGTCAGTAAAAATTACCATAAACATGTGCAGCCAACCAGTCGGTGGACGAACAGATGAACAGCAAGGGTCCTAAATTGAAAGCAGAGGTTCAGTTTGTGTGAGAGTTCGGTTGGGAGCAGGATAGCGCTAAGAAGAGGGTTTTAAATCATGGGATAGGTTTTTTTGGTTACAGATTTTTTAATTCGTTTACATACATTTAAAAATATGGCGTTTCTTCCATTCGACTGAATATTTTAAGAAAACCCACTCTTGAGAACTATTTCTTCGTTTTGAAAAACAAATCTTTTATTATAAAAATGTTTAATTCTGTGTAAATAATTTGAAACCGATTTGTTCCTCATAAAAATGCTTGTGTTTAATTTATATATTAATTAAACACTTGAGACTCAGCTGAACTACTTGGAATAGTCGACGTTTATATTTCAAAGATCTAGTTCAATGAGTGTGTTTTCTATAAACATGTGGCCCTCATTTAGCTCTCGATTTTATTCTCAGCTGCTCGCAAGTTTTTGTTTTTTTCAAACCTTTCTGATTAGTTTTGCGTTTATATCGCCTTCCTCTATTTCTGCTTTTCATATTCTATTTCTCACTTGTATCTGTCTCGGTTTTGCGGGTTTGAGTGTTTGTGTAGAACACGTTCCAGGCAGCTGCAAATTGGTTTTAGTTTCATTTGCTGCTTGACCTCATCACTTGCTGCCGTACATTTTCATGTCGTTCCTGCATTTTCAATGGCATTTAACCCGCATTTATCACTGCACCCACACAGTCACAGGAGAGCAGGGCTAGGTGTGTGTGAAAAGTGTAAATAAAGTGTTGTAAGTATATTTGTGTTTGTGGCTTACATACATACATACCTACTCTGTCACTGGTCAAGCAATATTTATGTGTCCTGTATCCGGAGGAATATTTCTGTTCAAAATAGACATCGCAAATGAATTATCGTTGATATTTCTTCGCAACTATAGTAGTCGACTACCTTTTCTTATGGACGACCCTAAATGGAAATGAAGCTTTTAAGCTGCAGAAGTTGGACTTCGAGCACATGTTATTGTATAAATATTCAATATCTAAATCAATGAAACCCACATCAATAAGAGCAGCAGGGCAACAGCTTAAAATGTTAAACCAAGCCCTAGGCACAAAGCCCTTTCATAACTCATTAAAATATGCAAACAAATTAATGCAACTTTTCGGCGATTAATTTTAATAAAATTTATGCGCGCATAAATAATGAGAATTAGGCCGTTAAGCGCCGACAAAACAAACCTGCGACAAATTTAACGAGCCAGACACTAAGACACATTAAACGAAATTTATATTTTGTGGAAGCAACCGGTCGTCTAAGCTCCATTTAACATTATATCGCCAATTGCAATGCGAACTGAACCTGGAAAAAAAATCACAAACACCTGACAAGCATTCAAAGTCAAAGCCTTTGTTACCCACCTTTGCTGACGAACAAAAAATTCATAGCGAAAACGTTCGGTCTTGCTAGCCATGTTGTGGTTGAAGTGATTTGCAAAATTCCAAACATTTTGCAGTGCGAAGAGCAATTTCTTTGATTTATTTAGCCACTTATTGGTATTCAGCCTAACTCTGCGTGCAATCCACAATATTGGTGCAATTTATTTGCAAGTCAACTCCCTCGACTGTACATTTTTGTTATTGAATAGCGCACATTTCACCTACAAGTAAGCTATGTGCACTACGTTTTGGCCATCTATCATATCTAATAACAGGAACCATTATAGTCTGTAGTCAGGCAGTAGCAACAACAGCAACAACAAACAGCAACTGTAAATTTTACCATTAAGCTCTACAAATTGGGCCAAAGGATTTACACTGTTTATTGTGTTGGGAACAAAAAAGTGCTCGCCACTTTGATTAAAATTACAATTCATCAAGTAGTTTTTGCTCTGTGCCGCTGGAAAATTGTTACATAAAGCGCAAAAAGCTTAATACAAACAAAAAATATTTATAAAAAATTAAAACCCAGTCGGTAAAAAACAGAGCAATGAAAGAATGAAATGTGGGTTAGTTTGCACTTTATTTCAACTGTCAACAGTCGCTGTTGCTGCTAAGTGATTTATAAATGTGATTTATGAAATAAAATGAAGGGATTGCAAGTGACATTTTATTAAATACGCTCTTTAGGTATTAAGTTTCTCATCAGGTCTACTATTTATTTAATTATTGCAATTGGTTTATAAAGGTATTTTCGCAACTATATCAGATATCGACTTACACCTTGTAGTTGTAACGACACATCCATATAAAAACCAAATACCGATTATAATATGCAGCTCCAAAACTACCCAACCAATATCCAATAAAATGTATAGATTACGAGTATATGGTTCGAATCGGTTGCAGCTTATTAGATAGGATAGTTTTAATTTAAACCTAATACCATTTTGAAAGATGCTTATTTATTTGTCACCTATTGCCCTTCTTTCCAATGCAAGCATATTTATTGTTTTTTTAGATGATGGTCGAACCATTCGTCCATTAGACGTCCATCACAATCCCAAAACGTTAAAAAATGAACGCTGCAGCACTAAAATCGTATTCGATGGATGTATGGTTCATAAGATCATTCAATCCAAGCAGTACATAAAACTATGCACAAAATAAACAGCAAGAACCAACTATTTGAAAGACATTACCAGATTAGAGCATGTTTAAGGCAATGAACTAATAATATAAAATACTAGCAGGTCTTGTGCGTCTTTGATGGGCTCGGTATTTTTGCTTCCAACTATAAGTTTATTTACCAGGTGCTATTCCTCTTCTGACACTATTTAAATAAAAATTTTGTGGGCGCCCTCCTCTGTGATTCTCATACCAAGTACCTAAGCGCTGGCAAATCGAGAATTAAATTGTAACATTTCTGAAGAATTAAATAATAATATTGTGGAATTAAATTGTGAAATTTCTGATTCTCATCTTGCAATTATTGCAATTTTTGTGGTAAGACTTCTTTCTATGCAAAATTTGCAGATCTTCCCCCAGGTGCGAGAATCAATAAGGTCCTAGCGGAACAAACTCTTGCACAGGCCACATAAAACTGCCCATGAGAGAAGTTTTCCCCCCTTTGGAGCTCGAACTTTCCAAAACCCCTTCTTAGTGTGCACCTACATGCACCTATGATAGGATACTCGAGCATACATTTCAGCTTCCTAGCTCTTGCCGTTTGGGCTGTGGGCGTGTGTGTGTGTGTTGACGCGGCTTTCTTTTGTGCCTCGTGAAATATACATATGTACATACATATACATATTAACGTACATATGTGTATATATGTTTCACTCCAGTACTGCGCCCTCTCTTCTTTTTGCTTTTGCTAGAGGCGCATATCCGTTCCGAAAGTTTATCTGCGTACAGGGTATTACACTGTCGGGCTTGCTCGACTGTAGCGTTCTCTCTTGTTTTTTCCTTAATTTATATATTTTCATTTTAAAATGTTTAAATATCTCTCCACGTCTCTCAGATAAATTGAATGGAATACGCTCTAACACGAATACTTACTTTTAAGTACCTTACTCATTCCAAAATCTGTCTGGCAGATGAAAACTTTAGCCGGGCACATTTTCCATGACCTCCAGATTTAGTAAAAAACTTGTTTACATTTAATAAAATATGTAATTGAATGTTTATTCAAATCAATTGTTAAGTCATATCTATTAGTTCGTAGTAGTTACTTATCAAAGACATTCCGTATGCATTGCACTTAAAGTTTGGAAAAATAACTATGTCCAAGTATCACTTATTCAAACCGGATTTGCTTAGGTCTAAAAAAAATCGTGTCGTATGGACCAACAAAATTGTTCAATTCATAGCTGCAGAGCGAGAGGCACGCGGGGGGCTCGGTCCACGTGAGTAATGCATCTGCAATGCTATGATAATGACAATTTGTAGTGGTCTTCTAACTGCTAAGTAATTGTAAATGTACAGATTGGTTTTACTCGTAGATGCTGTTCTTATTTGTTGTTATGGAGTGCTGCTTAAAGCCAGAGAGCATCGATGGCATCATCAACGTCATCGACAGTCACACTGAGACGCTTTTGTGGTAGGCGCTGCTGCTGCTGCTGCTGTTGATGTTGATGTTGTTGGTGTTGGTGTTGCTGCTCACTGACGACAACGGCTTTGGCCTCGACTTCGGCACCACTGAGCAGGACCATGAGGAGAACACTGCTGCGACGCGACCGCTGATTGGACGACTGTTGCAATTCCAGCTGCTCTGGCCGCTCCTGCTCCTCTCGCTCTTGTTGACTTGATCTCTGCCTCAGTTTGCGTAACCAGCCGGTTGCCGGCCAAATGCATTTGCCACTGCCGCTGCGGCGCCTCCTTCGATTGTTGTTATAGCCGTGCAGCTTGCTGTTGTTGCTGTTTCTCGTTGCGGCTTTTCCGACACTGGACTCGAGCATTTCAACTACGCTGATGTCATTAGCAGTGCCGTGGCCGTTGCCGTTGCCGGTGCCGGTGCCGGCATTTTCGCAAGCACATCCATCAACATCAGGCTCGGTCTGTGCATCGACCTGCACGGCATTTCTGCACGTTGTTATCGTTGTTGTTGTTGTTGCAGCCGTAGCTGTTGACACAGCCCGGCTACTTTCCTGCTACACATTTGTCACTTGGGTCGTCAGACCCAAATCGATGGCCATGCTCTTGCTCACCGCATCCGTGTGCAGCAGTCGCTGGCGCCCGTAGCCGCGCATACCGCCACCACCTGTGCCATCCCCATCGTGCTGGGACAACGGCAGCCATTTGTTGAGACAACGCGGCCGGAAGAGTAGCGTAAATGTGGTACGAAATTGTCGACTCATCGAGCAGTAAAGTATAAAATTGATGCTCGAATTAATAAGTGCCAATATGTCCATTAAGTCACCTGGAAATGAGACATTCAAGTGGTAAGAAAACTGCGAGCACTAAGAACGTCCCTAGTGCGTGCTTTAGGTCATGACGAAGCTGCAAATAGTTCAGCCAAAAAAAGTCAGCTTAGCTAATCAAACCCTGCCTGCACCTAATGAGTATTCTCATACATATATATTGAGCCCTTTGTCGCAGGTCAAGCGAAGCGCGCGAAAACTACTTGTACTTTGAATAATTTAAATGCCAGGCTACTTAATAAGACAAAGGGCTCAACGGGCTCAATTGCAACGCATTTATGATAACTACAAGTATTGTGTGTAACGGTGCGTATGATGGATGTGCCAGCACTGTCTACAGGGAGCATTGCTCGAAAATACTTGTAACAATGACAATGTCTGCGCACATCAATCTGCATAATTAATGCAGCGATTATTGATTTTCAATCGCACTCATCGTGTTCAATTGCAAGTACAATCTAGGCGAATAAACTACAGCGCTAAACTTTAGCAACAAAGTCAATATGAAATGAATATTTAAAGTCAGAGATTATTTTTATGTCACTATCAAAGCTACCTCAGAAATCACTAGAGATTTCGGGTTGGATTGCTTTTTGAAGTGAAACTTCTTATGCGAGGGTTTTGAATGCTGGATCACAAACCTTTTCTGTGACGAAACCAATTATACGGCAACAGGCACACATAAATAAACAGCAAGTAGACCAGAAAGAGAAATTTTATAGCTCTTCATAATGGTGTTTGTAGCCGTTTCCTAGCGATTTTTCTATTTTCTTCTGGCGCATTTTTAGTTGATTTTATGCCCTTTCTCTAGATACTTATGGTTGTTTTTCTTCCCATTTTCTAGCGGGTTTTTGAGTTTGAAAGCTACCAAAAGAGATTTCTGTGGCACGGAGAATTGGTTCGGTTCAAAGTTAAGACTACAAAAAATGTCGTTACGTCGAATCTACATTTTGGATAAACTTACTCAGCTTTAAGTAGCATTGAAAGTAAAATGCATCGCCCAGCAGGGCATTCAGCAAACCCATAATGCCCTGCGGAAACTCGGTGATGAGGAAGAGCAGAAGTACGGCCAGCAGCATGCGCGTCGTCCGGTCTGTCTGCTTCTCCTTCTCCAGCAGCTTGCAGCTCTTGGGCTGTGTGGGAGTCACAACCTTGCCATTGACAATGGGCTGCATATCGTGGGCAGCATGATAGGCCAATACCTTGCGCCGCCTCTTAGCCTCCAGCAATGCGTCAATCAAGCGCACCGACAGCACCGTCAATGCAAAGCAGGGTATCAGCTTGATGAGCACACTATAGATGAGAAAGGTGGCATTGCGCAAGGGTCGATCGTGCAACGCCAGCGCACTGTGATATAATTTAAAAACCGTAATGTTGCGCTCTCCGTTCGCTATTGATGATGTTGTAGTTGCTGTTGTTGTCGTGGTTGTTGTTGCCGGCACAACTGTTGTGAGTGAGAGACCTGTGAGTAGAGCAGCCACTGTGGTATTGTTCCCACTGCCCGCCACCAATGGCCAGGCCATGTCTGGGGTGGTACTCGAGAGCACCTGCAACGTCACATCCTCCTGCAATTGGGCCTCACTCAGGCCCTGTTCATAGTCCAAAATATACTGGCTCAGTGCCACCGACTTGATGGTCTTGCCACTCGCATCCAGCGTCTCCAGAAACTTGGCAATAGCTGTGACCAAATACAACCAAGGTGAGACGACCAGCACGCATACCACATATGCCGTCGCTATCGTTATCATGGTGGTTCGCATACTGCACCACACCCGATTCCGTTGCGGATAGCTAACCGCTATGTAGCGCCAAACGGCCAGCGTCACTGTCAGCCAAATGCTGATCGTGTGCAGCACTTGGGCAAAAATTGAATGGAACTTGATGAAACAGGCCCATGAGTAGCTCAGCTGCTGTTCCCGAGGCAGACTCGCGCTGAGTATATAATCGTGCACTGTATAGGGTATATATTCCAGCATAACGGCCAGATCGGCGACGGCCAGACCCGTGAGTATAGCATTGGTGGGTGAACGCATCTCGCGCCGGGACAACACAATGATGTTCAAAGTGTTGGCCAATGTGCCCAATATACAGACTATGAGTGAAAAATAGCCATGAATATATTTATAACTGCAATGGGAAAATATTTAAATTAATAAAGTATCATCAGCGATTCATACACGTTTCATAAAAAATGTAAAGGTCATCGTTTTTTTTAAATCTTTTCTAGAATCCGTATATCTTTTTTTAATGTCAACCAACTCTGTATATTGCGTGCAATCGATTACTTTAAAATATGAACGTTGCTGCATCAACAAAGCCAACATTTATTAGCTTCGAATCCATTATGTTCATTGTTTAATTGAAACCAAAGACAACATGTAAGTATAAAACAAAGAAGAAAAAAAAAACACATGGAAAAAATTCCACAGAACGTGTAAATGAAAAACTAACAAAACAAAATCCTTTTTGTAATCCGATGTAGCCTCTGTTTGTTTGTTTTTTTTTTTTGCTTTATTTTTCATAATTGTTTACTATGTGTTGCTTTCAATTGAATTTTTTTCTTCTAAGAGACCAACATTTTGTGGTAAAGTAGGTGCCCTCGGTATTATTGATTTCAATGGACAGGGTAGATGTGGATAAAATACGCTGTTGTTATCGCAGTTGAATTATACTTTGAAAGGCAATTCTGCAATAAATATAGCATTTGTTGTTGGTACAGAGGTCATTATTGGCATTTATTTTTGGGCATTTGGAAATCTTGAAATACCCGTGAAGGGTTCATAAGAAATGCCTTTCGATTGGACACACTGACGATGTATTCCTGAGGTAATTGTTCGGTTTTGTTCAATTATAATATTTAATGTTGTTAATTATAATATTTTCTGTGTTAATACGAGTCTCATAAAACGTGAATCATATAATCGTTTAAAACCGTTTTACTGAGTCACTTATTTATTGTATTGAAGCGATTTGTGTCTTATCTTCGATCTGATTTATTCTGCGAAATTACAGGGAAGCATGAGGTGCTGTGTTGTTGTTCTGTGCTTTGCGGTTGCGTGTGCGGAACACTGTTTTATTCATCACGGCAATTACACACACGATTTCATTATGTGCACATCAGTTATCACAGTGCAGCACAATCATTATGGAAATTGCATTTTAAAAAGTAATTAATATGCTGATGTGCGGCCGCTGAGTGCCAGCGAATGTGCCCAAATGATCTCGCACCGCCCTCGACCCATGCCATCTGCCACTTGCCACTTACTTTGTGTGAAAATCGTCGAGGCCAGATCCGCAGTAGTGCGGCTGTGATATATTCGTGACCATCCTCCCGTCAATACTGGGCTGACGCCTCGTCTGCCCCTTTTGTTCCTCCCTAGTGTGGGCTTCAGGTAATGGTTTTTGTTTTGGGCCCAACCTGCTTCTGAGCCGCTGTGGTTGTTGTTTTTCAGCTACTGCCTATACTTGCGCTGGCCTCTGTGCTCTGGGCTGTTGTCAACATACCGTGACTGATGCTTTGCCGGCTCATTAATATTGCCTTTTCGATTTCCCAATAGTTTAAAATGCGCACCGCGCTCCAAAGCCACTTTCCATAGCTCCCGCTCCTCTACCGCTCCCTGACTTCCTTAGTTTGCGAACTGTGGGGAATCGGGCTTGCAATCCTGAAATTAAATGCAACGATTTTTTGTAATGTATTCATACGTAGACATGTGTGTGTGTTAAGCATGTCGTGTGGAAAGGCCAAAATATTACGTGTTACAATAATTTTAAAAAGTCCATTATTTACATAATTTTCACGTAGCATGCAAACACGAAATGCAAATTTTTAGCCAAATCATGAACACGTGCAAGAGTGTCGGGCTTAAGTTTAAGGTAATGATAATGACATTGCTGAGCCATCACGTTGGCCTTTAACCAAAAGGCAATGAATATTTCAAGGCACGACACTAGAAGCACGAAGATGCGACAGTCATTATCGTACCCCCAAGGAAGACATTTAAGTGAATCCTTAAAAATATTACACTGCCTACGCCATTAAGTATTCCAGTCAGTGGCTAGTCCCATAATTACTTTTCAGAATTTTCAACTCTTTTAAAAACTTCTAAGGAGTAGTGGTGTCAACAAAAATTACATTTTAACAAATATGCCACTACTTTGATGAATTTTGAAAACTACTTTAAATTTAATTGGCTTACTAGGTTGCTTTTAGACTTTATTTTAAAAGCTAAATTAAATGCAAGCAATGGCAATATGAGATAAGCTATTAATTATAGCCATTTTATTAATTACAAGTAAAGTACCTATTAAACATTTAGGGATCTTTAGTGAGTTCCGTACAAGTGAATAAGAATAAAAAAATAAATAAATAAGTGCACCACACATCGTCGTATTAATCAATGGATTATAATATTTATTCTTCGTGTTAAGTAAATTAAAGTTTAATAACGATAGGAAGATATCCATAATGCAAGTAATACTCATGTCAAAAAAATCTCAAAAGTGTATTCAAGAAATAGTTTCCTAATTATTTCAATAGTCATTGATATCGAAAAAAGCATCAAAATACATTTTCAAATATTGATTTCAAAGAGATTATGGAATCACATTAAACGCCACAGCAGCATAAATTTATTATTCAATGCCATTTCGCAAAATAAAGTGCTAATCAACCAGTTGGCAGTGTAATGTACTTTAGTCTCATTTAAGCCACTGTGTTCCACATAACGATGCACGCACAAAACCCATAAATTCTCTAACCCGACCAGAGAACAGTTGCAGATAATTGACCGAAAATGCTACGCAATGGCTCAGACGATCCCATTTAGACAAGCAGTTTTGTAAGTGTGTTGGCAACTAGTGCCGCCCCTTTGTACCCAAATACAAGTAGAGGGGGAACCAGAAAGTCATTTGTCTTGGCATTACAAAGCCAATCGAATGCCCATTTCGAAAGCTAGACATTAGGGGCCCGCATGCAAAAGCATTGTCTGGCAAATGGAAAGCAATGCCTGCAGTCGTATACGCAATGCTTTTAGAATCGTTTGAATGGACGAATTATTAGGCGCTGTGCTGCTGTGTTTAGCTTTCATCATGCTTTGGGCATAGTTGAACAATTGAAAGCGTTTCTGAGGGAGAGCTGTACTTTTGCTTCTGCTCTTCTTCCTTTGTATTTGCACATTTAATTAAAAACTTTTGTTTTACATTCGCACCACCAAGAGTTGGAAGGTTTGAGGGCCGGACCACAAATGTACCAGCAAGGATCAACTTCGGTTTGTTCCGATAAGTGACAAATTTCTCAAGTGCCTTGTTTGAATTGTAAACGAGAGACTATGTGAAAATTGTCTTTTATTGGAAAACTTTTGTGTAAACAATACAGATGGCTCCCTCTGCGATGCAAAGCAAAACCGCACATATCTCCATGCACGTGTTTCTCTGTTTGTTTGTTTGTTTGCGTGTGTGTGTGTGTGTGTGTGTGTGTGTGTGTGTGTGTGTGTGTGTGTGTGTGTGTGTGTGTGTGTGTGTGTGTGCGGCTTATCAGATTTTGCATTTATCGGGCACACTACAGAGCTTCGGTTTTGACTAAGTCATGGCTATCTGCAATGTAATGTCACTTAGCCAAGCGAAAAATCCCCTTCTGGTTAGCCAATCAGACTTCCATTACAGTGATTAAGTCTTTTGTCAAATTGTACGCCAACTACAGTGACATGCAAAAGTTTTCTCAAGTCCTTTTCTGGGAAACAATGCATACATTTTTCAACAGGCCAACCAACACTATGAATATAAATATGAAAATGCTAAATCACAGTTTGTTGAGCTGCCGCCGCCTGTCTTAACTGCTTAGTTCATTAATTATAAACTTGACCAGTCGCTGGCATAATTAAACTTCAAGCTTAATGCGCTGCATAGCTGGCGTAATTAATAACTTTTAGCCAACAATGAACAGCAATTGTGACAGCAACATGTGTAGGTAACGACCAAACACACACAACATCAGCACCCAACACATAACAGTCCGCCTGCATTTGTTATCAAATGTCATTATTAAACTATATTGAAAGCGACATAACAACAACAACAACAAAAAAAAACCAGAACAACAGCAGCAATATACTATATAACAACAACAGCGTGAAGCCAATTGAAAACAGCTGTCAGTTGCTGGCTAGCAGCACCCAAGGACGCGCCAAGGGACAAATTATCTGCACAGCACTACACTGTGGAATACAAGAAAAAATGAAAAATAGTAAGTACAACAATAAAGTTGTGCTTGAACAGCCCGAAAACAGAACATAAACAGAACAGAAGCCATTGCTGGAATTTTGGATTCCAGTAGGTCAATTGGTAACTCTCAAGACTATCGATGAAATTATCGTTTTTAGACTCTGCAGCAGTAGATTCGCTTTACTTCTTTTACTTTTTGATGGTGCTATGAGACTAAATAGTATGTAATTGCTTGATCCACTATAACATGCTATCTTGTTTTATCTAAATTCTCTTTTATTCTTTGACATGCTCGGTTCCCTTTAAGGACGATACATTATTAGAGCAGTGGTCTTTCAACATGAACTCGAAATATGCATTTCCTTTTGCCAAACTTCAAACTTGTTTGTCAAATTTGAGCAAAGACGATTTATTTCCAGTCGCTATGAGCCAGATCTCCAGAGTATGCTGGATGGGGCAGCAATTCCTAGCCCAATTAAATTTATGTATTTATTCTAACGTTACAAGTATCAATTTATTTTTAATATGTTACGCTAGTAATTAGATACTTATCATCAAATTTAATGCAATTTGTTAGTTAGTTTTGTTTGCAATTAAACATGACAATTTTGGATATTTTATTATTATTATTATTATTTTTTTATATATTATATATATTTTTTGTCTTATTGCATTAATGTGTCCTACTAATAGTACAAGTCTAGTAACGTTATGCCTATTTAGATGTACGAATGCAAGTACGGATCCGAGCTTGCTAATTTATAACTTATAATTAGAGTTCTATGTATGTTATTTTCTTAACGTTCTACATTGTTATTGGTTCTCTTCTCCTTATGTCAATAATATTTAGTTATGCCAACGGCTTTGTGCATACTTGATAAGGTCGTGCATAATCCTGCTGAAGAAGAACTTTTTCTCGGCTAAATAGGAGTGTGTTTTTTAATTTACTATGCAATTGTAGATTCTTTAATATTAAATGTTGATGAACCTCTGCATTTAGCAGCTTCCACTAACACTTCTATATGCATTGTAATGCATAATAAAAATCAATTAAAAAAGGTAGAGTGTTGTCTCATATTTTAATATTGGCACATGCAAGAACGGAAAATCTCCGATTTAAACTCGTACAAAATAAATGTTGTCGGTAAATAGTAGTCGATACACAATTTGTATCTGTTGCAGCCCTAGTTAAGTTCTATGTATTGCCTCATCCCTGGATTCTGGATTCAAGCAAATAAATAAAACTTAGTTTAACCTCATTAAACCACCTGACAGATCCTCGTGCCTTCTTTTAAACAAATGTTAACTTTAATATTTGTTCTAAGTTTGAAACTTGTTTTGAACACAATATTCGTTTCTGTTAAAAATTGGAATCGATGTTTGCACCACTGTGGTCTGTTTTACTTAGCGGAGTAGTCGGAGGAAAAGTCATAGTGGTGGGAGAGGGGAGAACAGACTAGGCCGTAATTAAAATGTGACAAACAAGCAACTAGCAGCGACAGCAGTCGCATGTAGATTGGCCATGGCTTGAAATGAAGCCAAATTGCGCAGCAGCCGCTTCGGCCATCTCCCTCCTTCAAGTTCCCACACCACACCACGCTCGTTCAGTCCGATCCAGTCGGATGCGGCACATTATATAGGAGCCATTAATAATGCTGTGCAAATGAAGCAAGTTGCCTGCTAATGGCCACGACAGTCGCATAGTCGTCCAGACGCCCAGACGCCCCCGTCTGGACAATTTCATTTGGAGCGTTTAAGTTTGCTTACGCATTAAATTCACAAACTGCTCTCGCCAGCTGTCAGATGCCACGCGCACGCGACCATCCCGCCCCCTCCCCATATTCCGCACTCCTTCAAGACAAGGCTGTCATCAACAAGTTGTGCACATTACGTGACCTGCTGGCCATAATTTTAGTAAGTACGGCAGCGGTTTCCGGTCAACGATGCTTGAGCTCCAGCTCGAGCTTCGCAATCAGTAAATGGGGGTCGGGAGTCAAGGGAAAATTATGCCGCCACATCTTAATGCAATGTGCCGCATACGTTACGTATTAGTTGCTTTTTGCTTCAAGGATCGTGCGAAAACTCGTACTGTTGTTATTATTGTTGTTGTTGTTCTTGTGGCTACTTAGCTATTTCAGCTATTTTGCTTATTGTGTTATTTATATGTTCCTACTATTGCTTCTTATTGTTCCTGCTCTTAGGTATTTGTGAGCCAGCAGAAATTCCATGAATTCAATTAAGTGCGGGCGTGCAACATGCTGGCTGGCTGACTGGCTGACTGGCTGAGTTTCGAAATTAGCACAATATTTACATGCCGCTGAGTGTTTTTCCATTACTAACGAAATAATTTCTATGCTCTAGTCATAAATTGTGTGGACGTGTTTGTATGCGCGCCACAACCTTCTTCCCCTACTGCCTTTCAAGAATATACGTTCTACTTGTA